GATATTTGCATTATTTGTGTTTTATCACAATATAATTTTAATTTGTTTGCTGCAAACCATTCATTTGCCTTGTTAATAGCGCAAGTTAGTGAAGCATCCAAATTTACGTTGTCTTTCTCAGAAATAATAAACGTTGAGTCGTCTGCAAAGAGAACTGACCTATAAAATCTGTTTTAAAATCTGGCATAAAGCAGCTGAGGTCATTAATATAAATGATAAAAAGGAGGGGGCCCAAAACCGAACCTTGGGGTACTCCATGACTAACAATCTGAAAGTCTGATGTTTTACCGGCCCCCTGAGACTTTTTGCTGTTCCCAATATTGAAGAGAGCCTTGAAAAGACGACATTTCGCGACGATTGGCCTTCAGTGGACGTACATTCAAATATATCTGCGATTCATAGAAGAATATCTAACTCCTGCATTTCTTGACAGAAAACAATAACGGTTCATTTCAATAGCGTGAACACTTTTTCATTATTGTGCTTCCCAACATTTTATTATGGTCGACAACATACAACCCTGACCTAAAGAATTATTACAATCCGTGTCACATGCTAACAGTTTATTTTAAAAGTTTATGATATTACGAGAGGCGTGTTTTCAATAACAAAATTGTGCCAACCATCCTACTATCCATAAAACGATTAATAACTACTGTTGTGTTGAGGAAAAATCTCATGGCTTCTTGGCAATGCATTTTTCATTGATGTGACTTCACATTTGAATTTTTATTTTAGTAACACCCATGGACGTATACATGTTATAGGTGAATATATTTATTATGATAGGGATGATATTAAACTGTCTGAAAATGCTAATATATTGAAACTCACCACGTCACTAAGTGAAACGTTGAAACGTTTAGTATGTTCGTGAAACATATTTCAGACTTACCACGGTCGGCATTGATATATCTATAGTGTGATATTCTCTGTTCTTTTCTAAAAATTAGAAAATAAACAGCGATGTGTTTGAAGAATATTTTCAGCAAATGTTAGACTTCATTCCATATTAATCTGAATTGAGAAAAGCAAAGTGTTTTTGACAAAAAACCGTACCGTTAGATCGAAGTATGGTTCATGCGTATGCTCATAGTATGTTCAAATCAGAACTGGCTGGTATCCCAGTCGTCACAAAAGAAATAACCAGGAAATGAATTTCTAGCAAAAACATAACATCTGCACCGACAGTAGACAAGCCCTATTAGCCTTGAACAGACAACGTGTTACCTCAGGGCTAGTACTAGAGTGCCACCAAGATTTAACCAAAGTCTCGGTAGATAATAACACGTCACACCCATGCTGAATCCCAAAAGAGATGAGATGGAATCATAGGACACAGTCTTGCGAGGATCACCTTGGGCAACCCTGGGAAACTGGCGCCGAAGAAATATCTGGCGATGACCAGGAGAAACCTACGCTTGACAGTAGGATTTCTGACTGGCCAACTAAGGAAACAGCTCCATATTATGGGGCTAATGCTCACACCTCTATGCAGGATGTGTGGACAGGAAGATGAAACTGTCAGGCATGGCCTATGCGAGTGTTCGGAGTTATCGTCAATAAGAGAGTGTGTGTTCGGCGAGTCTTGTCCTACACTTGCGGAAATATACGGGGTGAGTGGCGGGGGATCACTGTCTCTCTCTTATGGGTGTTTGACAGTCCCCCGGTGCAGACCACACGGCACTCACCCAGTAAAGTTATCGGTCAACCACCCAATCCCGCGTCTGCGGGTAACAGGCGTTGGCCGGCTTCAAGCTACGAGAGGTGTCTCGTAAGAGCCCTCGGCGGTTACTCATCCAACGCTGGAAAGGTAACTTTCCTAACATGAGTGCCCCTCGGGGTAACGTAAGGGTATGCGGTGCAGACCACACGGCGTACACCCAAAAGTTGTTGATGAACCGCCCTATCCCGCACCTGACGGGTAATGGGCGCGACATCTTCGACATATGATGTGTGGTAGAGGATGCTCGAAAGAGTCCTCGACGGTTACTCATTAAATGTTGGAAAGGGAACTTTCCTAACATGAATTCTAGGGGGGAGGTGAGACTGGAGGCTAGCGAGCCTCATCTCCAACTGGCGTTGGCCTCTTAGGGGCAGCGGCTCCACTAGCGGGTAAAGGGATACGGGGATGCGGTAATCCATTCATGGGTGCATTGCAGCCCCATACCGAGGCACTGGACGGCTTATGCTGTTCCGTGATCCTCGCCTGCTTCTGTACGGATCCGAGCGTTCGAGGTGTCGGGGCTCGCGGTCCTTCCGGGCTCTAGTATCCGAGTCTAGTCTTGGAGGGCACCAAGGCAGACGCTTGAGGTGTCGGACCCCGGTTGGACGGAGCTACTAGTATCCGAGCTTAGGACCCCGACCGGCCACTTCCGGGACCATATTCCCAATTGATTTGGCATGGTTGGCGGGGGCAGGTGTGCGACGCGAGCACTCTCTGGCGAAAGAAGAGCTTAGTTAACTTGTACGAACGTTCGGTCGAACGCTGCCGATGGACCTGTCTCTTGGTTAGCCACACTAAGTAGATGTAAGGAGGCAACTCCGGGTTCGGTGAGCGGGAGGAAGCCCTGCGAAATCCTGTTGGTGTGGGGTGAGGGGCGGTACCCGCAAGGATTTCCCGAAAATCCACCCCTCCACACCCGATCGCATCCAACGCCAGGGTGCGTCTGGGGGGCCAAACCGGCCCCCCGGTGCGGTCGTAACTATGACTCTCTTAATGGCACAAAAACGAAATATTATTTCTTCTGATGCATCTGCCCCCTTATCTTCGCGAACTTAATCCCATTGAAGACATTTGGGTTCAAGAGTTTTGTTGTAAGGAGAAATACGAAATTCACAGTGATAGGCATAGGCGCCAACAGCGGGGAGCTAGGGGGTGCGATTTCTGTCTGGAAATAAATTACATATTTTTTACTCCACTGAACTGGCTATAAAGTAATGCTTTTCGAGTGCATGTATATATGCATATATATGTTTGTACATATGAGCAAAATTTAATCTTTGTCCTGTTTATAAGAAAATTGAATTTCATGAACTTCATAGGTGAATTTGATATTGATCTTTTACCTTTATATGGTTTTTGACATCTGAGATGATGGTTATCAAAAGAATTTTTGAAACCGTATCTTTAGAACATTTTCAAATCTCACAGTGATTCCATCGCGAATTGAGGCTTGAAAGTTGTAGAATAAGTGAAAATTTCTTGAGCTCAGTGCAAATCAACATTTTATACTCCAATTCGAGAATTTTCTGGAGATTTCATAACAGAAGCGTTCAAAAGCAGAAATTTCAGATATATAAATGTCCAATTTGGTCTATTTTTCACAAAACTATGGATGTTTCAAGAAAAAATCTGAATTTTTTTCAAAAATCGATGTTTCAAAGACGGGTCGATACAGAAAATTTACAAAAAATCATGGCTACATGTTTTGACCAATACTAAAAGATGAAAAAATACAACACAGGTTTTCTACTTGTGTCATTGGCAAGAATTTATTTCTATATCAATCAGATGTAAGAATATCCTGCTATTGTTAAATGTTTCCGTCATCTTCTGATTCACAATTCAAAAATAGTTCTATGTGTAATGAATTGAATAATGAAATAAACTTCATTGTTATTCAATTTCCATCGTTAAACTCCCATTCCCACACAAAGATATCAACATTATATCTGCCTACTTGTAGTTTGCAGATTATACAAGATTATTTACTAGTTCAGTTCAAACATAAAATTTATAATTACCTTCGTTTCCAGAACCGTAATCGGGAAGTGTTCTAAAAACTATATTTTTGGGATTCTTGCTGCTTTTCTGGTTTTCACATCTTCCAAGATCTCGAAAATTAATGATATCACGCCTTAGTATTCTGAAAATTTTATGACTGTGGGTCTTGAAAGTGAATCCTTTCAAAAGAAATTTATCTATGATATTCATGGTTTGGGTTCAACATCATTCGAATATATTATGTCTCCGTAACGTGAGTCATAGTCACCTCATACTCAGGCATTTTCTGTTCAGGAGAGGTAAAACGTTGCAACCATGGTCTGGCCTAGTACCACTGATGTGATCTGAGGCAGATCAAGACAGCGCTGTCAGATATAGTGGATGCAATCCTTTAGAATTAGATATAGGAATAAAATACTTTATCTAATTTCCACTTACTTAATGTATAATGAGTTTTATTAAAACAACGATAAAATAAAATAAAAACAACAATAAAAATTAATTGGCGCTCCGGGGCGACTTCATTGATTCCAGTGGCGCATTTGCTTTTTCAGCTGCAGGAAAACCCGGAAAAACCTGCAGCACCACATCATCTGAAGATCTTGATCTAACAATGTCCTCTCTCTTATAAAACAAAATGTAGGGTGTCTCCAGAGGCTCCAATAAATTCAATGCATCGCCAGAACACTTCGTGACACGACTATCGTCAAACTTAAACCAGTCCGTTTCTTCTTTGACCAAGGCGTAATAATGACCAAATTCAACGCCAGAACCACAGTGAACAATGACTGCATGAATATTATAATAGTGGTCTGCTAGGTTGAAATGTTCATCTATTTCGAACCTTCCAAAGAGTTTCTTGCTTCCGTTAGAGGTTGAGTCTTGTTTGAAAATCATCAGTGTTATTATTAGATTGACTGGAGCCTCAGCTATACTTGTTTCCTTATGACAGTCAGTTAGTTTGGCGCATGTTTGACAATACAGTCGATCATCACCTGTTAAAAATTCCATTTTCAGATGATTTAACATGTATTGATATTAATCCTTTAGATTATTAATCCTTTAGAGCTCTACGATTATCTAGTAACCCACTTGCATAGGGTACCACTCATCCCCCATTCCTTCTGAAATAATTTGAGAGATGACCTCCGTTTACATTTTGGATTTTTACGGAAAGTTGTTTTCTTAGCAATCCTGTCTTGTAGCAATATATAATTCTTGTTATTCAGAAAAAAATATTCATAAAATAACCATTCTCTTATTATCTTTCCAGGTGTGCCCACAAGCGTGGACCTAGAAAACAACAAGAACCAAAAGAAGTACACTGTGAACGAAAATAAAGGAAAGAAAGTTGTGATATCTAAACCTCTCTGTGTCTTAATGGCGATTGGCGCTTTGCTTCTGGCCGTATTAGTAGGCCTTGTAGTTTTCTTCTTAGTTCCTAGATATTGTAATGGAGAAAAACCACCCGAAGCTTTAACCAAAACGCAAATACCAGAAACTTACGATGAGGCTGATGAAGTCGATGAAAGACTACCTAGAAGCATAGAACCTACTCATTACAGGTTAGTACCAATTATTTGTTGTGATACTTACGAAATCGCATTGTGAATCATTTGAAATTCACGACTTTAGTATGGAACCTTCTGAATAGTTGATAAAAAGATATAAGTTTGAATGTATCATAGTTATATATCGGCTTGGGTGGGATGGTAGCTTGGTGGGTTGACGTGAGTGGTCAGCTCCACTCAGTCAATCGACCGTTGTGCGAATCGGTGGTTCAAACCGCAAGACCGGACGATCGAATTTCACCCGTGTTAGGTTAGGTTAAAAGACAAGACCTTGTGAGTCCTTAGCTCGTACAAGTTTCGCAATTTCACATTTGTTGTCATTCGTAAGGGGGCGACAGCTGGTTAAAGGAAAAAAAGATTTTAACAGTATTTTATACAGGGCTATTCAAATTCGTTTCTATACAAGGGGATCTCGTAAACGATAACAGATAGTGTCTGTTAAATTGTAGCAAAGTTTCGTATTTCAGAGACCTATTCAATGATGTAAAAAACCCTAATATAGCTCTTTTGGTTCTGGAGATATACAGGAAAAACAAAAATATCCCAAATTATTTTTTTGGTATATCTTCTTTATTCGCAGACATATTGGAAATCTGTCCACATTTTGCTATTGGCACTTGACGTGGACTATCAGAATATGACCATGAATATTTTATATAAGGTGTCATCTGACTTGGGCCACCCCATCTTTGAATTTTTAAATGCGGACCTGTATGTTTTGTTGTAGTTTTTGGATCGTAGACGTTCACTTCATACTGAGAAATTGAATTTTATTTTATATTTGCGGATGTTTCGGTAATATTTGATTAAAATTGTGTGAATTATTCCCTTTTGAATTACGGACCTGAAAATTGGTTGACTGAGTTAGAATCCAAATGGAATGGCGAGACGAGTGTGTTGTCGTCAGCAAAGCTATATATTGGATTCTTGGGTTTTTCCAATAAGTCGTTGATATACAATAAAAAGAGGGTTGGAGGCAATATTGCTCTCTGGTCAAATTAAGTGATAATTATGACTTCTGCAATGAATTTGATGTCATCTTCAAGGAACGATGCCTCCGATTACAGATGTATTCAAAGATCATTCATGTAGATGATGAACAAAAGGGGTCCAGGTACAGACCCCTGTAGTATTTCGCTGGATACATTCATCACATATTTCTCCATATTCGTCCAAGAACCGAGATTGTAATTGTTTTTCAAATTCTACCTGTTATCTCAATCATCATTAACCAATTGAGGAGGTAACTAACCAATTAAGAAGGTAACTAATACTGTTGGATATAGGAATTGTAGCTATGGCGATGCAGCTACGGTGTTTGGCGTTTAGAATTTTTTAAAAAATCTTAAAACTGTTTCATTATTATCATGTATTGTGTTAATAATTTTGATCAAGTAACGGGTGAGTCCATTTATGCTTTGAAATTTAGTTGTTTTATTTGACCTGAACTGGCCTCATCAATAAATTCATACATACAAGCAGTGCAAATTTAATAAAAGTTGGTAATGAGGAAATCTAGCTTTTACTGAGTATTGAATAAGTTGACATATCATTCAAGTGGAGCTACTGTTTTCACTGTAATATATTTTGAAGATTGTGTCACCAGTGCTTGGGAATATCTGTACGGAAATTAGCTCCCATTAATTCGGACTGATTTAAAATACAATAATCCAAGTTCACTGACACGAGATTAGCACGAGATGCGACATTTAACTGAAATGAATTGTCCTGAATATTAAACAATTACTTTTATTGATATTGCTGGGTCAATGCTCAAAGACGGTATTCTTCTGTCTTAATCATTACTGATCGACTCATTTTATCGCTCATTTCATATATGAACCGTTCGAGTGCTTTCCGGTCTTATGAAAAAAATATTTGAAATGAATTTGTGTTGTTTGCTATACATTCATCTGAAATAATAATAATGATAATAATATCGATTATTATGCATGAAAATACATGAAAGTAAAAGGGTTAGCCAAAGGCTATCTTCCACCCTTCCNTATTTTATTCATTGGTTTGTAAACTCAATAAAACTACCAGTTCAGAGTCGACATTTGGCTTTTTCACCCTAAATTCCAACTTTGAATTCGAAACATTGGCATTAAACTCAAAATTTGGCCTTCAATCTCAAAATCGGAATTTTCTTTGAACATATATCAAAAAAATGTGTTTCTTGTTTCTCTATTGTGTTTCCTTGCTTTGGTTTGCAGCATTTGACAAATTTTCCAATTCAAATTTTTTAAAATCCCCTCAGACTAGAAGGGAGTTAGGTGGTAAAGATCAAGGATGAGTTTCAATATTCCAGCTTGACATATCCCCAAATTAAAAGCGAAAAAACTTGTTTTGGCAGACCGAAACGACAGCAAAGTATCCAGCTTAAAGTTTATCGCACCTTCGAGACCATTTACAACGATCTTGACCTTTCCTTTATTAAAGGAACCACACCTAAGTCGACCTGATTCGCGGTTTAAATTTGAATCCAGAAGATAGTGTGCTGGAAATAGGATAATTGTCGTGGAGAAACAAAATTGGAACTCAGTCATGCAAAAATGCACATTTAAAAGCAATGTGAAATGTCCGTTTCGTTTATGTAATCAACATTGAATTAGTTTTCACACTCTCAAAGGCAAATGATTCAACATTTGACCTGTATATCCTTGTTGGGTCATTCTTTATCCTAATTTGACTTTGATAATTGATAATATTAAAGTTTTTTTAGTCCGGAAAACAAAATTCAGTAGGGGAAACTGGGTACGATTGTAACAATTTCTCCTTAATTGCCTATAGCACACTAATTACAACGATCAAACACTTTGAGAAGAAAGTATGGTCATTTATATTTGAATCATTATCAGAATCAGTCGGTCAGGCAAAACAGTTTGACAGGAATATGCCATTTTAATGAGAGTGTGCGGTCATAACAACCGATCCCATATTAGGGGTTGTAAATTAAATGGTCTCTTCAAATATTCATTAGAACTCAAATAAAACAAACAGAAATAATGTTTCTTCTATAGAAGGTTTTACAATTATAATCAGACTTTCATAGTCAGAGTATTCACACAAAAATAATTTCTCATGAATAATCAAACAAAACTAGTTAACAAAATTTCAATACAAACAAAATATTGTTTTACCATGTTTAATCAGACTCATGGCAGCAAAGGTATGTACAGTATCCCCTTTTCCATCAGTACAGGCTGCGTGAGATCATTGTTTGTAGCTCCCTTGACACTGAATCCAACTTTCTCCAGATCGATTCACTGTACATGTACACGCAAAGAAGGCAAAAATGGTTGAGGCTTCATGGAACCTTTTAAAAAAAAAGCAAGTCCACACCTTTGAATTGAAACCAACCTTGTGGCTATGTCACGTGGATGAGACCTTCGTCATCTGGAAACATGAAAAGGACGCTCTAAACCTTTTCCTAGGCCACTTGAACTCTCAACACATAAAGTTCATCATGAAGACTGAACAAACTGACCGAGAAATTCCTTTCCTGGTTATTTCTTTTATGGCAATTGAGATACCAGCCAGTTCTGTTTGGACCACGCTGGTATTTTTTCTCATTCCCCACTCAATCCATAGGCTTGGGAATTTGAAGCACACTCTACATCCTGAGCCTTCTTTGGTTTTAGAGCCGTCTGTATATATGCGTATTGCATTTGTAGCATCTGACTTAGTGTTCTGTTTCATTTGTATTTTGTAGGGTTTATTAAACACAAACCTGGGTTCAATTGCATCAATGGTTGCCTGCAGCAGAGGTTGCGCAATAAGCACTTCTTGCCATAGGCTCAGCCTCAATTGATCCATTCCTACTTCGAGGTTTATACCAGCTGTGCGCAATCGTACCATGGACATTAACGCGACCTCCTTAACGTACAGGTCCAGAGGGGTCAGACCAGTAATCAATTCCATTGCCGCGGTTGCTGTTGTTCTCATGGCTTCTGTGATGTTTAATGGCTCCGTACGTTAACATAGGTCTTATTATTGCAGTGTAGATCCAGGTGACCACACGGGGGAAAGACCTAATGCGCGTCCCACTGTCCTCCGACATTGCTCAAAGGCCACATATATGCTCTTTTTGCTATACATAAACTGAAGAGTTCCACGGTTCAAAACGGGGAGGAGGCTCAGAAGGTTGCATGTGGGTATCTACCATACAGGGTCATAGAAAGAATTGGAAAACTCTTGGGGAAACACAATTTCAAAACGATTTTCGAACCCACTAAGAAGATACAACAAAGTCACAGGTCGGCCAAAGACAAAAGAGACCCACTATCAGCAGCAGGGATATAAACTAATTTCAACTTCAAAGCCAAAATTTCTACCTTAAACGCAGAATTTCACCTTTTAGTTTGTGGTTTCATCTGTCTTTTTCGCGAATATCTCGATATGGATTGTAATAGTTTTCGTTTCAGCTTCTTATTTTTGAACAAACTTCCTTCTATTGTTTTCTAATACTTTTCTAACTCCAGAATGGCCTGCTGGATCACCTGATACGACTCCCTTTGATAATATTTGTGGAGATGCATTAAATCTATAATATAAATGGAACTTATAAATAGAATCAGACATGCTTGCAACCAAACCTCGAAACAGTCTATAATGTGACTATTTTCATTGAAATAATAATAATAGTAATAATAATAATAATTTATTCTCCTCTTATTTTACATTT